TGGTTTTGAATTATTTCAGTGCCAAAAGTTTCTGGTTTATGAAGTTAGTTCACTTAGTTGCTACATTCTGATCTCGTGCAGCATACATGTTAAGATTTTCATTAATGTGATGATGTGCTGGCCTCACCGGCTGATCACAAGAAGGCTGATCCTGTAACCTTGTTGATTATTGTTAGCATGTTTCAATATTATCATTTTTATTTGGTTTGATTATCATAATTCTATTTTCATTATTATCTCTCAGGTTTAGTTTCTATATTTCCTTATTTAAATAGGAGTAAGAGTCCAATACAAATATAAAAGGATTAGTATGTTATCTTTTATATGACAATCATTGAATAATACATAAATACAAATTCCCATAATTTCGTCATGGTATCCATATCTTGGGAATAGTTATTCCTTTCTATCATAATGAGTTCATGAAACTTAATTATCAGTTTATCACCAACTGAACCATGATCTCTCCTTTGCGAGCTTTGACCTTCTTTCTGTAAATTGGCCCTGTTGTCTAAGCTTGTTTTTTCACACATTTGTTTTGTTTTGGCTCATATTTAGTAGATTGGCTCAGTTTTTCAGCCTATCTGTTTTGTAGATTGGTTTCATTCCCATATCTAACCCCAACTTAAGTCTAACCCTCTTGTATGTGTATCATGGTCCTGTCTCCACTTTCAAAATGTAGTCTGACTTGTCTTAGATCCTGCATGCAGTTTGACCCCATCTCTACCGATCAGATTTGACCTTGCATTGCATGCTTCCATACCTTGGTTCCCTCTGCTCCTACCTTAGTTTGAGTGGGGAATGTTGGCATATTTCCATTATTATGTGTTTCGATTGTCATATTTCTATTTCTCCTCATTATCTTTTAGGATTATTTTTTACGTTACCTTTTTATCTTGTGATTTATTTCCTTATTTCCTCAATACACATTGCAAACAGTTTTTATTCTCTCCTTTCCTCCCTAACGCCTAAGTCTCCATAATTTTTAACAATTATATTAATAAATAAAAGTATTCTAAACTGGTAATATGGAGTTTATTTTTGTTAAAATGTGAAATTTATTTTTCATTGGTTTCAGTTATTTCCTAACACTTTATTTTGTTTTAATTACTATTCTATTAGCCTGCTTATGTCTTTCTAATGCAACGAATTTGATTCTTCCATATTTAAAGAATTATTTTATTCAAATTTAATTGTCGTTTTATAATTCATGATACTTTGGCTAAGCACATGAAACTAAAATTTTCAGAATGCTACTACCCTGACTAATTTTATACTGCCATCTGTAGGTAACTGGTGTTGGTATAAATACTGAGTGGGGATTATTGATGGCAAGTATCTCAGAGGATACTGGAGAAGAGACTCCATTACAGGTTCCCTCCACATACCCCATCCAAAACCAAAAAAACGCTGTTACTTTAGCTGTACATTAAAGAAAGATAAGTGTCACATTTAAACTTCTAACATATTTTTAGTGACATTTAATAGGTACGTTTGAATGGAGTAGCAACTTTTATTGGCATAGTTGGCCTTACTGTAGCTGTTTCTGTCCTTGCGGTCCTCTTGGGAAGGTAAACATCAGTTGTTCTTTTGTAGTTAATGAATTTATTATACAAGCTCAGGCCAACTTTGATTAGTTGTGTAATTATTTTGGAATGCAAGATACTTCTCTGGTCACACGAAAGATTTAAATGGAAAAGTACAATTTGTTGCTGGAGTGACTGGTATTAGTGAAGTAGTAGATGGGGTCATCAAGATTTTTACCATTGCAGTAAGTGCAGATTCTGAATTATGTTCAGAAACATCCTTTGTTTTCCTTAAATATTTTGTAATAGCTTTTTCAGCTAAATATAGAGCCATGCAGGTAACAATTGTGGTTGTTGCAGTGCCTGAAGGTCTACCTTTAGCAGTTACCTTAACGTAAGTAAATGTTGCTAGTTCTTTTGTTGTACAACACTAGATGTAGCCAAATATATGCTGTCTGATGGTTTATTCTAATCTTCGTCATTTTCTTCCTTGACCACACTCATGATAGCTTGGCATACTCAATGCGGAAAATGATGGCAGACAAAGCCTTGGCAAGTAACTTTTTGTTCTCCAACAGTCACCACAGTATCTGAAACTTTTTGTTGTGCAACTATTTGTTCATTTTCTCATTCAGTTTTAAAATATATTTTCTAACTACCAAGCAGGTGCGAAGACTGTCAGCATGTGAAACTATGGGTTCTGCTACAACAATTTGCAGTGATAAGACTGGAACTTTGACCTTAAATCAGGTGGGTTCTTTGGCCAGAGAATTAAATAGTCCATAATTTACATTAATGCATCTGAATGGAAGCTCCAATAGTTATTTAATTGATGCAACTCGTTGGTACTGGGTTCATTTCATAACAGATTGGTCATTGCTTTTTCTAAAAACAATCTGCTTTCTTGTGGTCCACTGAATGTTATTGTTTATTAGAATTATGTCAATTCTGGAAAACAGAAAACAGAAGAGGAAGAAAACACAGAGAGAGAGAGAGAGAGAGCAGAATTGATAGAAAGATTTGAATTGTATTTCTTAGGTAACAATTCAGAATACAATTGTCCTATTTATATGTTTCAATAGCTTCAAGGAAGACTATTGAAACAATGACCTGTTGAACAAGTAAAAAATAAAAAACAGAAAAACAGAACCTGTTAAACAGGTAAAAGGTAAAAACAGAAATACAGAACATAACTAACTGAAAGAGTAGCCCTATACAATAACATATCTAATACGAGTAAAGATATACTCCAATATCCCCCCGCAAGATCAAGTGGGTTGAGGCGAAGAGTCAACCAACTTGAGCTTGGTCCGAAGCTCACAAAACCGAGAGGGAGATAGAGCTTTAGTAAGAATGTCTGCATATTGATCAATGGCTGGGACATGAACCACATGAAGAGAATTAGCAGCAACTTTTTCACGAACAAAGAAAAGATCTAGCTCCATATGCTTGGTCCGAGCATGAAGGACAGGATTGTGGGCAAGGGCAACCGTGCTCATGTTATCACAATAAACAACAGGAGTGTGATGAGAGACATGGAGTTCAGAGAGTAAAGTTTGAATCCATAGAACTTCAGCAGTGGCAAGAGCAAGGCTTCGGTATTCAGCTTCAGCACTGGAGCGAGCAACAACCGTTTGCTTCTTAGACCACCAAGAAATGAGATTGGGGCCAACAAATATAGAGGCACCAGAGGTAGATCGTCTGTCATCAGGGTCTGAGGCCCAATCAGCATCACAGTATGCACGGATTGACAAAGGAGAGTTAGAAGGAGCTGGTTGCAGATGTAACCCCAGGAACATAGTGCCTTTTAAGTACCTAAGAATGCGTTTGACAGCTGACCAGTGTTGTTCAAGGGGGTTAGACATGAATTGACAAACTTTGTTGACAGAGAAGCTAATTTCAGGGCGAGTGATAGTGGCATATTGCAAAGCACCAACAACAGATCTGTATAAGGTCACATCAAGGAATTTCTCGGAACCTGTTCTAGAGAGTTTACACCCACTGACCATGGGTGAAGAAATAGGATTGGAGTTCTCCATGTTGGTGCGATTGAGGAGGTCACGAATGTATTTGCTTTGAGTTAAGGTGAGTGAGCCATCAGTGTTAGACTTGACTTCAATGCCAAGAAAAAAATCTAGGCGACCAAGATCTTTGAGGGAAAAGGCAGAGTTGAGTTGAGCAATAATGTTCTGAAGTGTGGAGGAGTTATTTCCAGTGATAATAATGTCATCTACATAGACAAGAATGTAGATTACATTATTGTCATGAGAGTAGACAAATAGAGAAGGATCACACTTGCTGATCTGAAAATTGAGTTGAAACAAGGTAGTTTTAAGTTTATCAAACCAAGCACGGGGTGCTTGTTTTAGACCATAGATTGCCTTATGAAGTTTGCAGACCAGAGTTTTGTCCGAAGACTCAAAGCCTGGAGGTTGGGACATATAGACCTCTTCTTGAAGGTTGCCATTTAGGAAGGCATTGTTGACATCCAATTGTTGAATTGACCAGTGATGGGTTAGGGCTAGGGTGAGAATGAGGCGGATGGTGACAGGTTTGACAACAGGTGAGAAGGTTTCATTATAGTCGGACCCAAACTGTTGATGGAAGCCTTTTGCAACAAGGCGTGCCTTATACTTATTGACAGTACCATCCGAATTTTCTTTAATACGAAACACCCACTTACAGCCAATGGCTGTTTTGTTTGGAGGAAGAGACACAAGAGTCCAAGTACCATTGTTTAGAAGGGCATTATATTCCTGCTTCATAGCAGCAAGCCAGGTATCACTGGCCAAAGCTTGTTTGGTATTTTTGGGTTCAATGTGGGTGAGTAGGAGAGTGGGTTGAAGGCGGGGTTTTACAATGCCAGCTTTGGCCCTGGTAGTCATGGGGTGAATGTTAGTAATTGGAGTTGGGTTATGAGTGGATGATGAGGTTGATGAAGTTGGGAGAATAGGAGAGGCCAAGGCAGATGAGGTGGTGATAGGGACGGATGGGAAAGTGGAGTTATGAGTTATAGGTGATATAGGTGGAGAGATGAGTGTAGAAGGATCAGTGTGCATAGGAGGCTGTGGATTGGTTATTACAAGAGGAACAGGAATTGAAGGAGGGAGTGGGTTGGTGGCAGGGGCAGGGAATAAACTCGGATAAGGAAAGCGGGTTTCACAGAAAATGACATCTTTGGAGATAAAAATTCTGCCAGTTGGGGCAAGGCATTTGTATCCTTTATGAGAAGTCGAGTACCCCAAGAACACACACTCTTGGGAGCGAAATTGAAGTTTATTCTTGTTGTAGGGCCGAAGGTGAGGAAAACAAGAGCAGCCAAAAATTCTGAGAAAATTATAGTCAGGTAATTGATGAAATAGTTTTCTGAATGGAACATCATTCTGAATGGAAGATGATGGTAGTCTGTTAATAAGGTAGACACTGGTTAGGAATGCATGGTCCCAAAACTGCATAGGGAGGTGATCTAACAAAAAATGCCAATCATTGGGGAAGAGGACAAAAATGCGACTTGACAACCTCCTCCACCCCGTCCAAAAAGAAAAAAGAAACGTTGGATAGTTTTGACGAATTAGGACTATGGTACATTTGGCACGGAATGACCATTAGAGATAAAAGGAGATGCTTACAATATCAAAGAATCACAGCTGGACCTGGTTAGTCAGGGTATCACTAGTTGGCTGAACCCAAAGATCCTCATGGGGAAAATCAGGTCATGCATATAGACCAGCGAATCTCCAAGAGGCTATATATTCCAATTATACAAATCATCCACGCACAGCTTGTCAGATTATGGTTTGCAGTAATGTCTGACGCACGGAAAATAATTTGCCTACAAAATGTCCCATATGTACATGTCCCAAAAGCTCATCCAGAATTGTTGGCAACTTCTTCAGCTCTCTGCCTCATCATCTCCATTACAGCAGCTCTTCGCCGTGAATCAGACTGTTGCTGCAGCCTCCTCAAGTGTTCTTTTAAATCTCTGATTTGATCCAAAAAGAAAATGTTATTCAAGCAAAATATATGAACAGTGACTTGAGTAATTGCTAAGTCCGATCACAAACCTGCAACGGGGTACATGGCATTCAGATTCCTTGCAAGCACGAGCATGGAGTTGAAGCAAATACCACATTTTCTTGCATAGAACACAACCTCCAGAGGCACGTGTTTTGCAATGCATCCCATGACGGAAAAGCCCCTTCACCTTGCGACAATTGGGATATTGGCAATGGGCAGAACGACATTGGGATGCATGGACAAGAAGATCAAGCATTTTTCGTAACTGTAAATTAGGAAATCCATTTGTATCAGACCTTATAAAAAGAGGTGCAATAGCACCACTAAGCACGGTGATAAAATGAGACTGCTAATCAAAATCTTTTAACCATAAAGAATTGATTAGTAAGCATTGAAGTATTATCCCAATGTTATAACACAATGTATTTTGTAAACCTCCCCCATACTTCCCAAAACAAGTTGTCAGTTCATTTGATAATCATCAGAAAAAAGTTCAACAAAGTTAACAATGAAAGCAGACTGCCTAGTGGATATACAGCCTTTGTTGCTGCTTCCGCTGTAATTGTATAAGCAAATAAACACTCCAACAACATATATGTTCTGCATATGTATAAATTCAAGAAAAATCCATAATTCTTATGCTCAAATTCACATTATATAATTTTATATGTTCTACATGTTAGAAAATATAAATGAAGGCAGCTCCTCTTCACACTCAAATTTCACCACTCATGAATCTATGACTTCTTTATTTGAAATGCAATATAACCGAGTAATAAACAAGCATGCTCATTGAAACCTGCAATACTCGAAGTTGCCTTGCTTCCTTGTTTTGAGCATCACGATCTGCCATTGACGGGTGATTTGTCAATTTATGAGGATGATCAGTGCCACCTTCCTTTTGATAACAAGCATTGCACACATCATATTCAGGGCAAACCTCACATCGCCAACCTTGACCTGTTTCTATGTCAAGACGGCAAATATAACATGTAGTAACAAATGCAGGAGCAGTTGGATTATGAAGATGATAGAGAACCATCATAGAGGAATGCTTGGCCCGCCTTAGAGTATCATACTGATAATGATTTCCCTGGCAGAGACTCAGAAAAGCCTGCCTAGTGTCAAAGAATTCACTCTCAAGAATCTCATCTTTGTCCTTTGTATCAGTGGGTACTTCAGTAATTTCCACCTGCAAGAGCATACAGGGTACATCGGTAATTCCAAATTCATTTTTTCTAGTTGGTAGCTATCAAAAGAATTTATCACATCAAATTTTCAGCTCATCTGACTCGCTATTTATGCTGAAACCAAGGTGATTCACAGCTAAGCTGCAGCCCAGGTACTTAAATGATGCGGGGATGGTATGACAACTATGAGGATACCAAAAGTTTTAATAAATCAAGGCAAGATACAATGAAGATAAGTTAACACAAATTAAAAAATTGTATATATCCTATATAAACACTATTTGTAAAGAGGCTTTGATCAGGCCTGCTAGGCATGTCATATATGGACCAATATTGGTTGTGCGTATGACACCAATGTCTGACATTTTTGGAGTATCTGGGCTTCATAGCTGCCAAATACTAACAATTTTTCACACAACTCTACAGGTAAAATAAATAAGAAGAACTAATGCAGAATCAATCACTTTACATGTGAACATTAAAAATGGTCGCTTACTCACAGGATAAAGGGTGTGTTTCTCCCTCTGGTTAATAGGATGCCGTTCTCTCTCTTCATGCTTTAGTTCTGCTTCATAACACCTAATAGAACTTTGTTATCAATATACTGAATATCTTGGAATGTAGGAGGAAAAAGTAAGAGTGTGTGACAAGCATATCATGATACAAATTGTGTATCAAAAAACCTATTTTCCAAATCATGAACCGAATTGTAACGTAAATCGTAAAACTCATTATCAATAATAAAACTCAGAGATGGAACGGTTTTCAAGAGTTGTGCTACGAAGGTCACCACGCAATTGACGGGCTTTGGCATTGGTGTGGGCATGAAAATACGCATGAATCTTGTCCCAGATTTGGAAGGAAGATTTACATCCTATGACGCGTGTGAGCATTTCTTTGGACATGGATGATTGGAGCCAAGAGAGGAGTAATTGATCTTGCTGTTCCCACGCAAGATATGCCTCGGAGATACGATTGGCATCTCTGTCAGAAATTGAAAGGAATTTTGGAGGGATTTGGGGATTGACCAAGAAGTGGTGGAGACGGTGGCCTTTGATGACTGGTTCAACTTGTTGACACCAAAGAAGGTAGTTCTTGGTGTCAAGCTTTTCAGAGATAGTGTGCAAGAAAGTGAGGGAAGGGGATGAGGAGGGTTTTTCTTGTGCAGCATAGAAGTGGGGCGGGGTTGTTGCAGAGGACTGTGGTTGTTCTTCAGCCATGAAGGAAGACGAGTGGTGTAGTCGGGCAGAAGGTGCAAAGAAGATAGGAATCTTTGAGGGAGAGAGATGAGGATCAAAAGCTCATGATACCATATTAGAATTATGTCAATTCTGGAAAACAGAAAACAGAAGAGGAAGAAAACACAGAGAGAGAGAGAGAGAGAGCAGAATTGATAGAAAGATTTGAATTGTATTTCTTAGGTAACAATTCAGAATACAATTGTCCTATTTATATGTTTCAATAGCTTCAAGGAAGACTATTGAAACAATGACCTGTTGAACAAGTAAAAAATAAAAAACAGAAAAACAGAACCTGTTAAACAGGTAAAAGGTAAAAACAGAAATACAGAACATAACTAACTGAAAGAGTAGCCCTATACAATAACATATCTAATACGAGTAAAGATATACTCCAATATTGTTAAGTAAAAAAGAAAATGGTTTTCATGATCTCTTTTGTTACTAGGCCTCTATAAATTTAAATAGTCTAACTTCATGAAGATTAATACCATGAAATTTTTGTTGTTTTGTTTGACCTTTCCTTCCACATGTTAGGCTGTTATTTATATGGTCGGTAGAAGAATACATTATGTATTTAGAATTTTAGAGCTAATATGGAGAAATAGAAACCTAGGTGGAAAAGGCTTGGTTGTTGTTATATGGAGAAATAGAGAAGGAACTCTAAATTATGGAGAAATAGGCTTGGTTGTTGTTTGATAGACCTATTTTCTCACATATAATGTGTTCCCTCTGCCTTTTTTGGGGGTCACATTAGAGGTGCAAGAAAATGGATATGAAAAGAGAATGATGACCTTGTACAGGGTTGAACCCCACCCGATGCCAATTAAGATGAAAGCCTGTTGGCAATATATCTGTAATTTTGTGTAGACATAAATCTATCTAATAGTTTTACAAGCTGTTTGCTAATTCTGCTTAACTCCTAGGTTTCTGCATTTCATTCATGTTACTTGAAATCCTTGAATTATCAGTATTTGATTGTAACTTATTTTTTGGAATTGTAGATGACTGTAGTTGAGGCATATGTTGGGAGGAAGAAACTAAATCCACCAGATGATTTGACAAAATTGCATCCAGAAGTTCTATCTTTGATAAATGAGGGCATTGCACAGAATACAACTGGCAATGTTTTTGTGCCTAAGGTTTGCCTTTTTACTTGAAAACAATGTCTAGGATTCCCTTTTATGTTGGGATATTTGGTACTATATTAGCTCATCTTAGAAAGTAGGTTTGGGTCTAACTCAACCCTACATAATTGGTTTGTAAGGTGAGGATTGTTCTCTACTTATATACTCTAATAAGGCCTTATTTTTAATCAATGTGTAACTTGAGTTTTTTTCAATATACCTTCTCATGCCTAAAACATTTGGGCTTCCTGTGTAGATAAATGGTGGGTAACCCTTTTTAAATGATTTAGGATAGGCCGGACTTGAATTTTTCTAATAGACTGTCTCACGTCTAGCCTCAAACCACAACAAAAAAAAAACCCTAAAAGAATGTTAAAAGGAAACGACAATAAAGGGAAATGCAGCAACTAGCAATACATATCTAGGGCACCAACCAAACAGCTAGGAGGACCTCCAAAGGAGAAACCCCCTAACCAGACTTGGTAAGAAAGAACGAGGAGGAGGCGAGGAGCCCACAAGAAGGACCAGACCCGTGATGGAAGAGATCTGATGCCTGGAATGTTGTGCACGTACCCCAGAGGTCCCTGTGCATTAGTGCAAAGCAATATATCAAAATGCACGCATGTGGATGAGTGAAGAAGATTCTGGCAGTGGCACTCCAATAACAATTCAACCAAGTCTGACGATTGACTGTTCAGTTGCAAGTACTAATATATCTCCTGTGGCTGTAAATTATCTGTCTGCCTCTGGCATATTGCCTGATGAAGATAAAGCCCTTCCTAAGTTATGCTAAAAATGGGAGTTATGACTAGGATGAATGGTGGTTTTGTAGTGTGATTATGGCTGGCTTCTTTTGTATTGAATTTGAACAATATGAACCAAATACCGTTTATAAGCTAAAAAAATAATGAACAAACTTGATTTATTGATTAGTTTCCACTACTTTGAGATGGCACTGGTCTTCTTGTGAATGGTAATGACTACTGACATACAAGTTGATTGATGGTTCTTTACTAACCTGCTCTTGTTTTTTAAATTAAGTATTAACTGGCATTGCTTCTGTTGTTCTTATTTGATTAATTTTTGAACCATGATATCAATATCTATTTATCATTACATTCTGTGCATGCATTTGCTTTGGTAGGTTGGTGGAGGAGAGGTGGAGGTGTCAGGATCTCCTACAGAGAAGGCAATTCTTTCTTGGGCAGTGAAGGTACCCTCACTTTTTTCTCCCATTTTCCTGCTTTGCTTTAGACTGGTAATGATTTTGAAGGTGAACTAATCTGTTGAGTCCTGGTGGCAGTTGGAGATGAATTTTGAACTTGTTAGATCAAATTCAACGATTCTCCATGTCTTCCCCTTCAATTCTGAGAAAAAGCGAGGCGGTGTTGCTTTGAAACTGGTAATTATTTGATACAAATGTTTTCCAACTCATGGCTTATTTACTGAATCTTATAGCCATTATGATACATAAATATTCATCCCATGCACTTTCAATTTTAACTCATTTTTAACTTATTTAATTTACAGAAGTAGATTAGTTTTACTTTTCTAATATTGAAACATATCAGTTGGATGGTTTGCATCATCTTTCATATGATAATCACAGAAATAATGAATGTAACTTGCTTGGCAGACGGACTCTACAGTACATATACATTGGAAAGGAGCTGCGGAGATTGTTTTAGGAACTTGTACTCAATATGTTGATTCTGATGGTCACTTGAAATCTATTGAAGAAGAAAAAGTAAGGAACAACAGCTTCATGTGATAGAAAGTTTGTTGAGGGAATTAAAATTATTGAACTGAACCAGGGGAGATAAAAATAAATAAAAAATATTCTCTTGGTTGATAGCTAACCGAAATTTAAAATCATATATGGAAAGGCTACCGCCTAATCACTTCATCTGTAACGGTGTGATAAAGTGTTGTTTCAAGTTACTCCAATGCCAAACTTGTGCAATTATAAATTGGATACATCATTGTTCCATAAATTACAGTGACTAATAGCAGTTGATCAAATTTTTAGTATTTTCCTACATATTATTTATATTTATTTAAAAATTTCCAGGTATTCTTCAAGAATGCTATCGAAGACATGGCTGCTCAGAGCTTGCGTTGTGTTGCCATTGCATACAGATCGTATGATTTAGACAAAATTCCATCTAATGAGGATGAATTAGACCGGTGGTCCTTACCAGAACACGAACTTGTCTTGCTAGCTATTGTTGGAATAAAGGTAAAATGCAATATTATTTTTTCACTGTTATAATGTATTAAAGTTGTTGAAATTTGTTTGTCCTATAGCTTGCAACGTGAAAGCGTAAGTGGTGAAAGAAAATGTACTTAAGTATCACATTTAATGAAGATTGCAATTTTTGATGTTGAAAGTATTCTTATAAAAACATTTAGAGGCTGGTAATGGTATTGTTATATCAACTTAATGCTCTGGAGCTTACTTTGTCCTTATGCTTTCAAATCAATCGTCTATAGTGTATTCCTTCCTCTAACTACATTAATCTAAATGTTCAGGATCCTTGTCGACCTGGAGTCAAGGGTGCTGTGAGAGTATGCACTGAAGCTGGCGTTAAGGTAATATATAATTATATGTTTGATGAATATAGTTTTGATATTGATTAAATAGCTAGATATTTTCATATTTAGATTGCTGTTCATTGGAAATGGCAGTGTTGGAATGTGGTTATGCCTTCAAAAATTGCATGTGTTTATCCATATTCCAAAATATAAAATCATTGCAACCCAACACATTGTACATCTGGGAACTCACAGGTACGCATGGTTACGGGTGACAATCTTCAAACAGCAAAAGCTATAGCTTTGGAGTGTGGAATACTGATGTCAAGTGAAGATGCTGTTGAGCCAAATATAATTGAAGGAAAGACATTTCGTGAACTATCTGAAAATGAAAGGGAACAAATTGCGAAAAGAATAACAGTATGGTTCTTTCATTGTGCTATTTTATGATATTCATTTCCTAAATATATTCGAGAATATTATTCATCTAGAAGAGTGTGCAAAAATACTAACCATCCAAAATCAAACGAATCCAAATTATGAACACCGAACCATTTTGAGAAGAAAAAAAACTAAAAATGTGAAATGATTCACTTTGTTGTAAAAACAGTTTGATTAACCAAATTGTTTTTATAAAGTGGACTGGTTTGATTTTTTTTTAAGAAACTGAACTGCTCCAAAACGATCCAATTTAAAAAAATCTGATCCATTTTAGAAAAAACCAAACTGATCTGCTTTATAAA